TTGCTTTCCCGATTGTTATCACATATATAACTTTGTTTAATCGGCACTCCCACCAAACACTGTGATACTGTAAAGTGCCTAGTCTCGAAATTCACATCTGCCCTGTGACCCCGGTGAACTCGTGGCAGTGCCACGGTTCGACTCCCACTAGGCATGTTGATAAGACCTAGGCGAGGTCAAAACTGCACTCAGCCCTGGATGAGAACAACCTTTGGGAAAGTTATGTGTAATTCAACTGAAACACCAGGTCTATTCATGTCATTGTGGTAAAAATCAACCACCAGTCCTTCATCACTTCAAACGAAATAGGGTGAATACATCCCATATAACTAACCGGTAAGATTTCATGACATATTGTAAGCTCGAGATTGATACAAGAATGGGTTCTTGATATGGCAATCTCTGTCATCTGGCAAGAAAGACGGAAGCTGACCAGAACAAAATGAGGCAGTCTCGGAGACTGTTATATGATGTGATCGATCTACTTATCTCTGCATCACTCCCTTCGAACAAATTGAAGATAAACTTTCCATTAACGGTGTCCCGTAGATGAGCAAAAAGATATGCTCACTCTTGACAATACTCGAATAAGGAATTTAAGCAACCTAGATAGCTTAAACTGATCTAAGGAAATGGTCTGTCTTCGTTTTCGCAACTTTGTCGTGTTGTCAGGGTGACCTAGTTGGACACACCTTCTCCAAAGCCCTCTGCTACAATGGTTGTCATCGTTCACAGCGTCGGACCGTAAACTTAGGACATACTGTCGCTTCAGACAAGATGTATCCAAATAAATCCCCTTGATAACACGACTACGTTGTGAAAACGAGGTCAGACCACATTTATACATTTGAAGGAGATCGAAATAAGGGCCATAAAATCTTAGTCTTCATATCTCCTGATCTAAGTAAATTCTGGAAAACCTATTTGCACAAAGTATAGGTAACTTCGTATCTACTAAGACAATATTTTTGCGGTGAATTTCATTTTCTCGCTACTCAGCTGAGGAAGATTTTCGAAGATCATTTTTCCTTTTGTCCTTTGAAGTCAATGAGCCTGGCCTCAAGTTTCCCAATTTTGTGACCCTAACTTAAACACATGTTAGACTCAAATATAAGGGCACTTAGAATAACATGACCCTTCCTTAGCTATGTATATATATCTATAAATTAAATTTAGTTTTAATTATTGTTTTGTAGCCTGTTAAAAAGAGCCAGATAGTCTTCCTTGACTATGTGCTAACTTGAAACTTACGATGTTGGTTATATGATTGACAAAATAGTAGCCAATTGAAGATATGAAGACCAAGATGGTGTGGCCTCTGGTATGATCGCAGTCTCCTTTCGATTTATAGAAGTGGGTTGACCTCGTTGTCACAACTTGGTCTTGTTGTCAGGGTGACTTAGCAGAACGCACCTAGTTCGAAGTCCGGCGAAACGTACCAAGTCCACTGTCTGATGTTGCGACTTATGACAACTACTATGGCAGACGACTTCGGACTAGGTGCGTTCTACTATGTCGCCCTGACAAGACCAAGTTGCGACAACGAGGTCAACCCACGTCTAAAAATAGTAGCCCATTTACACTTGAACTGAAAGAGGATCTCCTATTGACTGCACCAATCTGAGAAGCTTGGTAAATTCAGACCAAGGCATAGCAACGAGAGCCAGCCGTCGTTTTTCGGGAAACTCTTGCTACGAGTCCCTTCATCAGGTCCCTTCACCCGAAATAAAAGTCCCTCCAGTATCGTCGATTGTAAAGACAACTACAGAATATGTCTCAGATTTAGGAGAGGTCTGGTTTTCCTTGAAAGTTACATCCTCCCGAGACCAAATCACGCGCAGTCGTCTGAAGCAGTGTCATCGTCCAGCTGGAGGTGCTGGTAAAGCTAGATACATAAAGCCTTTTGGGGAGCAGGGCTAAGTGAGATTTAAAGGTCAATCCCAGCAGAAGGCGATAGCGGGACATTCTTGTTGACGCTGTCTCGAGGCCGACTTCTTTGATTCCGATGAAATCTCGCCAACACGTATTCACTCTATTTCTTTTAAGTTGATGAAGGAGACTAAAACAAAGTAATTGCATTTTTTTATAATGCTATGAGTAGGCCTTATGTTTTTATTGAATTTTATATGGTCTTGCTTTCCAAAAGTTGTAATCATCCAGTGTCGACTACAGGCTATGAAAAGTCCAATAGAAATGTGCCACCTACTCATATGATTGTGGGAAAATGTAACTGTCAATATTCGATTATCCTAAAAGAAATGGGGGGAATACATCTCATATAAATGCTCTAATGCTCTGTAAACGAGCTAGCAGGCCAACCAAACCCACTGAGTTATCCCTAAACAAAAATTGAAGTGAGCCAAACAATTATAAACCAAGATACTTCTCGAAACCAACCTTAATTCGCAAATACTAAGCTAGGTTAAATGGAATCGCGAGGCCTAGTCATAGGGATAAGCTTCACTATAAGTTCTGAACCAAGTTTTCAAGGTATATGCCGAGCCGACAGGGATTCATTCAGCTAAGACAAGGCGGTTGCCATGGCCGAAACGATGAGGTGGGGTGGAAAGTAAAGTTGAGATGAAAGTTGACGGCTTAATGATTTACATGTGAGAAGACAGCAATTTTATCCAGGCCATCCAGAAGGCGACAACACAGCCGGCTTACCTGTTTTCAGTTTCTCCTCGAAGAGTTGGTCCGCCATCACCTCACCTCGGTCAGGGTTCAACACCGAGAGTTTGGACAAATCATTTATTTCCATCTCATCATTATTTTCATCATCTTCATACGCCTTGCTTACACTTTCTGGCGACACGGAGGAATTTGTGAGACGCGTCGCGTTCTGGCTGACCCCGACGACGACGGCGACGTCGATAGCAGTTGCCTTGACGACGCCCATGTTGCTCGGCGTCATGTCGTTGAGGTGATCGCGTCGCCTACCTACAGCGGCCTGGCTGGTGACGCGGTCCAGCACGAGCCCACCAAGTCGGGGCCAGTGACTGTGGTCGGAGGTGGGCCTTGGGCCGGCGATCTGTCTCTGTGGCGAGCCCAGACGGTGCGGGCTGACCGGAAGACCAGTTTCCTTAGGAGACGGAGACACAATCAGTGCGGGCGAAGGGGGCGGACGGCCTCGGCTGGCCTGCGGTTTGGCCGCGGAAGAGGCGTACACCGAGAGGAGGCAGTCTATACTGAAGCCAGGAGGGGGGGGGCAGATGGTGGGGCTCGACGATTCAGTCACTGTGGGCATCGCTAGGGAACCGTCGTCCCCCCTCACCTCCTCTTCCTCGTCTTCTTCTTCGTCTTCTTCTTCTTCGTCGTCGTATTCGTCCTCCTCGTCCTCTTCGTCGTCTTCGTCGTCTTCGTCGTTATCGTCTTCAACACCGTCCTCCTCCTTCTCCACCGCAAGTTCCGCCTCTTCGGCAGTCCCGAGCAAACTGGCTCGGGTCCTGAGGACCTCCAGGCTCAAACCCGCCTCCATGCTGGAGGGCGGACCCAGAGCCGAGACCTCACAGAAGTCGGGAGGGCCAGTCAGGCCGGGGGCGACAAACAGCCTCGAGTCCCGCACGTCCAGAAAACCGAGGCAACCGAGGGTTTAAAACACACGTGACGTCTGCACCTGTGTCGATGTGCGCCGATTTAGAGCGGCGAGTAGGCGATCAAGTGGCGCGTCGTGAAAGCCTCGCGCGATCGTTGTTAATGCGCAAACGAGTCCAACCAAGTGCTCGGACCAGGGTCGCCGCGTCAAGGTAAGAGGTTGGAAGAGAGAGAGAGAGTGAGAAAGGAAGAGAGATAGGAGGGGGAGACAAAAAAAGGCCTGTCAGGATTTTGCCGTCTTTACCGGCACAGAGAGAGTGAGGTCTGCAGGCAAAGAAGAGAGAACGCCGGCCAATCGTTGGATTAGCATGCTTCCTCTGGATGTATCGCTCTCTCCACGCCGGGGTGGCGCAGACAGGGTGATACAGCCCGACGCCTCTCGCATACGCTCTCTTGGCCGCTCTACTGACGTGGCCGACGTCGCGACCCCCATTGGCCTGACAGTAATTGCGAGCGTGTCTTGTGAGTGGTCTTTCTCCTGCTCGCTGCATCCATCACTGAGCCTTGCCATTTGGACCACTTGCCCTTTTCTCGCGAAAACCAGACGTCACTCCGCCCCTCCTTACGCCAGTGGCAGCAATCACTCGCACGGCTAGTCGGGCCAGAGATGGACCTACAGATGGACAATCAGACGCCTGCACCAATCAGAATGCGGAAATGCATCGTCGCACCGTGTGGACCAATCGTATACCAGCGTTTGCCTTTGTCAGACCGGGAGACCGCGGGTGGAGTAAGGGGATTGCTTGCGCCTATAGAAGTTGTGCAGTTGTCGGCTTGCCACCAAGTTCCAGCTGACGCGTCAGTCGCCGGCTTGTTTTCACCTTTAATGTCATCGTCTTTTGCAGACTGGGCCCGACATTGGGCCCAGCAATCAGAGGCGGATGAAGTCTGGCCCACTTTCGTCCAAGTGACGCCCGGAATCGGGTGAACTTCAGGCCAGGACTTCTGCCTCCGTGCCTACGTCTGTCCGCTCTTCGGACTGTTCGTGTATCCGCACCGCGGCCGAGGGCGTCGCGACCTGCTTCGTGTGCGTCTTTCGGTGAAGTTTGAATGGCTCAATGAATGGGAAAAGGTCGGAAGTAGGCCGCGTGGCCTCGGCGAGAAATGCGTAGGTGGGGCCAAATCTAGTTGTGGAGACACGCGTAGGCGGGGCCAAATCCAGTTGGCGATAAACGAGCAAGCCCTCCTCAGAGCCACCGATTCAGGTCTTGGGTATCTTCTCCAGGAGATCTTTGACTTGGCTCCAAAAAGCCTTGATTAGCCTAATGATTTATCTTCGCTTCAATCATTTCATATCAAAATGACTGACAAAATGATTGTGTAAACAATAAAGACAATTTTAATTTATAAGCGGATTTTCGATATGATATGAATAGAGCTCACGTTTCTATTGAATTTCACATAGCCTTGCTTTCCCAAAAGTTTTTCTCATCCAGGGCAGACCACAGTTTCGACCTCGCCTAGGTCTTATCAGCATCCCCAACTGGAGTCGAACCATGATTGTGGGAAAAATCAACTACCAGTTCTTCATCACCTTAAATAAAATATAGGAATACAACTCATATAATCGATACAATGCCAGTAGCCATGTACAAAAGGGGGACCATGATCCAGAGTAACCACAGGCCCAAATCTCGTCATTCTTCCAGCATAGGATTTCTTCTGTCTCTTTTTCCCACGAGACTCGAGCTA